AAATAAATAAATAAATAAATAAATAAATAAATAAATAAATAAATAAATAAATAAATAAATAAATAAAATGTCCCAGTGTAATTCTCAACGAATAAAACAGCTGAACTGAAACATGACATCTGAAAATACAAACAGTGAATTTGCACCAAAGATAAAAGTATTGCACAACCCGACACAGCTCAACTTCATTGATATTATAAAACCAACAATAAAGATGATTAAAATTTGRTTAAAAAATCAATACCATAATCAACATATAAGATTAAAAACAGTAATCAAGGATTGTTAAGAAAAGAAATGAATGATGGCAGGAAGGATAGTTTAAAACTGTTAAATTTGCTCTGTAGCGTTTCCTCAAGGTAATAATTTGTAATCTGCAAACAGAACATGAGATGGTCCTGTAGGATCCTTTTAGCCTGTTTGATAACGGTGTCCTCATCAACAGACTGCAACGGCAAAGGCTGAAAATTTGACCCAATTATTTTCATTGAGGTTTTCATTATATTAAWGACRTGGGCTTTACAGTAAGTGAGCCGAACCAAACACCCATGCCATATCTAATAATACTGCCAAGAACAGRYTTATAAAAGGTCTGCATGATCTRAGARTGGACCAAACGGTCTAAGTCTTCACAAAAAATGTTGTCTCTGGGCTAGTTTGGAGCACAGATAATCAACATGTTCATTCCAGCACAGAGTAGTGCACATAAAAATACCAAAYTATTTAAAAGAGTGCACTTATTCAATAACATCTCCATCAAGTGTCACATAATCATCCTGTCCTGGTCCTGATGACCTGAAGCTACGAAGTTAAAAATATTCAGTGTTTTTCCTTCATACAATKTTGTTAAATTGGACCAAATCCCATAACTAACTGTAAGACTGGTCTGTATAAAAACCAGTTTCCAGGTCCTAACGAATCCTGTGTCCTGCAGTTCTTTCCTAACAGGTCTCTCAGTAAACTGAAGGAGTGCATCACCGTCAGAGACAAACTGCTGAGCAGAAAGCTGGAGGAGCACAAGGTAAACAGATCAAACCTGTGATGGAGCAGCAGAGGCCTGCAGCGCCCCCTGCAGGCTGCAGACCGCACTGCACCTCAGCTCCTGAAGGTCACGTCTCCTCTCTGGGGTCCAACAGGCATCGCTCAGTGATGGTGAACCTCGTGACCTCCTGGACGCCTTGTTAAAAGGTCAGACAGGAAGTGGGCGGGGTCAGAAGTCACATGGGTCAGAGGAAGAGGTGATAACAGATGACCACGTCCTGATGACGGTGGCTGAAACGTTTGGAGCAGGAGTGGAGACCACGTCCACCACCCTGCTGTGGATCCTGGCCTACCTGCTGCACCACCCTGAGGTGCAAACATCTGGAGCAACATGTGGTTCCAGTTCTGGATCAGTAATAGAACTGGGTACTTTTTCCAGGTCCAGGAGCGTGTGCAGAAGGAGCTGGACGAGCACGTAGGCAGCGAGCGTGCAGTGAGCGTGTCGGACCGTGGCCAGCTGCCTTTCCTGGACTGTGTCATCAACGAGGGCATGAGGATCCGACCGGTCAGTCCAGTTCTGATCCCACACACCGCCTTGACGGACAGCAGGTGAACCTGGTTACTCAGAAAACCTTCTACCTGTGAGTTTTTAACTGACTAATAAAAGACATGTGAGTGAGGGTTGGACCGTACGTGAGCTGCTTCCATTCTGGGATGATTGTTTTGAAGGCCATTGGCATTGATGGTATTCTTGTTCAACCACCAAGTCTGCAACCTGTGACTCTGTGGTCCCTCTGCCGCGACCCTTTGACCAACGCTAACACAACATTACAATTTTTATTTTTTAGACTCATAACAGAAAAGGCTGACTTTAGCAGTTTTCCTGTCAATTTATTTGCAAATATATGATAAATACTACTAATACCAAAAGTGAAACATGTTGATTAGAACATTGTAGCCAGTCGGCCACTTTAATAGTTCAGCTTCCAGCCTTAAAAACATGATATTTCTCTCAAATCAACCCGGGATACCTTTAAAAACCTTTAATTAGGTGATAATAATTAGAAAAAAATGCAGTTTATTTGTAGTTTTATTAAATTTGGCAATGGTGGGCAGCGCTAGTTCTAAAATTAGCCCCGCAATTTCTAAAGCTCTTATGAAAATTTTTAGGTCCGCAACTTCAAAAGCACTTATGCCATAGAAATATTAGCGGAAGCTAATTCTAAAACGCAGGTTCAATTTAGCACTTTCTAGATGGCTACAATTCATGTACAATGTATGTACAGTGCTGTTTATGAATTATAAAAATTAGTAAGACCGCTAAAGTGCAAACAAAATGTTTAGGTCCACAATTAGCGGATTTGCGCTTTAGCGGACTGGTGCCCACCACTGAAATTTGGAATATGTTATTCTCCGTATTTTTCTTGTTTATGCGAATATGGTCTTTTCTTTTATCCTTAAGAGTAAAAATAATAATAAATGATAAAATTGACTATTTACTTTTAGTTTTAGCTGGAAAGGCCCCCTTTCAKCAAACTCTAAGTGTCCCAGGAGCAACCAGTTAATAATCGATTGCAGCATGTTTTGCGGCTCCAGACACTTTATATCGGTGAGCTAAGGAGCAGAAGTGACTCTATTGTAAAGGTTGCAGACCCCTGCCTGAGAGGAACCTGGGGGTCCAGAAGGATAATCAGCCAGTAAGTCAGTATGGTTAAATTCTGACAAACTGTCTTTCGTAGTGTTGGAGGTCACACTGTGAGTCGTGGAACTCGTGTTTTGGTCAACATGTGGTCGATTCACCATGACCCCCAACACTGGGACAAACCTGACCTGTTCTGCCCAGGTAACACAAAAAATACACACCTCAGCTTTTTAAATAACACAAAAAACTTAACTTTTCATTGCTCTCTTTTCCCGCCAAAACAGATCGTTTCCTGGACGACCACGGCCAGCGTGTCATGCCCTCCTGCTTCCTGCCCTTTGGGGCGGGGCCTCGAGTCTGTGTTGGCGAATCGCTGGCCAGGCTGGAGCTTTTCCTTTTCTTGTCTTCTCTGCTCCAGCGAATGAGCTTCAAGCTTCCAGARGGGGTTTCTCCACCTAACTTGCAGGGGCGACTGGGTGTGGTCTTGCAGCCATTGCCTTATACGGTCGTGGTCACTCCAAGACCAGGCTGGGAGGGCGGGGTTAAATAAAAGGAGGGAAAACATGGTTTAAAACAAGTGTTTAAACGATTTATTAAAATGACTGAGAAAAATTAAGAAACTAAGATAAAGTATTTACAAAAATATAAACACTTATTTACATTTTTTTGTTAACCCAAACTTATCTACACCTCATTTAGCAAATTTTATTCTTATTCAGCTAATAAAAATGCTAACTCTTGCTAAATGAGTTTTTTAAAGCTTTTACGCAAACTGACAATAGGAAAACCACCTTTTTTGCATATTTCTTAGCAAGCTTCAACTACTAACATAAAGTTGTTTTTAGTTGTACTATGCCACATTTAAGCCAAATCATGCACTTAAATCCAAATAAAACCTTACCATTATCTTAATGACAAGTTAAAGTATTTTATTATCACGACTTTTTAATCAATAAATAAATTATCTTTACTGTGCTGATGGTCTTATTTTCTTTTTTGGCACCAGTTTAATGACATTTCTTCTGTGGTACATAAGAGACAAACTACATTAAGTTTCAACAGTTTTATTCATAATATTTTCACACTTTTAGAACAGGCTGGTTTAGTTAGATTACACACATACATCCACACATACACACTATTATTTCAATAGTACTAATAAGTAGACTGTTTGTCATCCTAATATTTAGGAATTTTAACCAACAATCTCTCCTCTTCTCTCCCTGACTGTCGACAAGCTTCATGAAAACAGTAAGGACAGAAGAGAAGATCTGACAGATTAAAATCCAGTAGACAGAGAAAAGGACTTGTACCATAGCAGGAACGTCTCAGAAAATTAAATTTAGTCAAACATCACAGGGGAACTGCTTATATACTCCTTAAACAAGAGAAACTTTATCAAAGAACTTATAAAAAAGATTTAATCCAAAACTGTTTGACTGGAGTCACATCAGGGTCAGCAAATTGGACTGATTTTAATAAGAGTTTATGACTTTGAATTTTTTGTGTAGTCATAGTACATTATTTAATTCTGTCCTTATAAAACAATGTCATGTCTTCAAATGTTTACGTTAACCTTCATAGCTTCAGTCAGCAACAACTCATGCAAAGAAACTGCTGCTAAAGATTCAAGTAGTTTTGGTTGCAATATTTACTTTATTTTGCTATCACCTGTTCCCTGTAATAAGACTGTATTTTATATTTTGTATTTATGACTTGTTTATGCTTCARCAACAGACAAAATAATTCAGGGGTAGAAAACATGATTTTTGAATAATCCCAACCAAACGACTGAGCCCCTCGATGTGAACCCAGTCAATGTGAAACTCTTCAGATAGAGAGAAAGAGAGAGAGAGAGGACTGTGGTTAAGTGTTTCTGACATCTGATGAAAAACAAGTGCCTCAGAACTCAACAAAGACAACATAAAGACAAGGTTTCCCAAAGATACACAGTCCCAGAGCCAGCCTGATGTATCTGACGTCTTGTAAGTCACTTTATCCCCAACAAGCCAAACAGAACCAGGACTGTTGACTTCTTGGACGGTAAGGATTTCATTCATAACAAAGAGTACTGTGTTCTTTATACTTAGGTTTGGTTCGTTCTCTGGTTACACAGATTTATTGGMGAAAGATTTCCACCAAACAAAAATTACTGCAAGTTTCCCATTATTTCCAGCATGCCCATCCTTTACCAATACTTTAAGGCAATTTTAGTTCAATCTTCCTCAACGTAGCTGATCTCAGGTCTGCACAGCCTTTGAGAACCTAAAGTACAGACAATTTCTTCAGTCATTCTGCTTGAAAGGCCACAGTCACACAGAGCGAGAACAGCTCTAAATAATGCTAAGTAGTAACAGTTGTCAAGTAGAAATGGCACTCAGAAACCATGGAGATATATATCAGTATTAGTTCAGGTAAACAAAAACACCACCAACCACAACATCAACTACAACATCAATGGCTGGGTGTCACCCTGGGACTATCTGGAGAGTGTCCTTCAGTCTCCAGAAACRCTTGTTCTCACTCCACAGGTGCCATTCAACGAGTTAAGACAAACCAAAGGTATCATCAGAGGATGTGTTTGAGCTCTGAGAAGTCTCAGGACCAGACTGTTGGATTATTTCTATCAAACCAAGCAAGGATCCAGTTATGTGTGTGTTGTTTTCCCAAGATGCCTAAAACCGAAGGGTCGAGTCCGTCAGTCATCCCTATGGCAGGATTGGATGAAGTCCAATCAAGTCCAGCATAGCTTTATTCCTCAGTTGCATCCGTATGGGCACCTCTGTTGACTTATACATGAAGTGTGAGTTAATGCAGCATGGACTCAGGGTACAAGGATCAACCAGATTCAGGGTCTTTCCATTAAAAAATGTTGAGTAGATGACATCATCAGGTGATGTGTTATAGCTTCATTTTTCTAAGACACCAGCTGGCGTGTCTTTGGAGACCATGTATAAATGTTCAAACTGTGAATCGTTTGGACTCAACCTGCTGACGTCCCCATGCAGCATTTGTCTCAAAGAATAAAGAGTTGGACTTTTTCCAATACGCTCCAAAAATCAGTGCATGTTTTGGAAACTTTATGGGAGCTAGCATCTTTAAAAATACGTAGATGTAACAACGAGCAAGAGGCACCGCTTCTTTGTGTACTCATCAATTTCTTTGTTCAGATTTAAACACAACCCACCCACTAAAATAAAGATAACAAGGTACATTATATTTGTCACTGCTGTCTTTACGATTTGATCTTTCTACAATTCAAACATGTCATCAACATAWGGTGTCATCCTGATGGCAAACTTACTGAAAATACATCTACAAGATGCATTTAGCCCCTTTCACAAAACTCAAAGTCAAGCCTATTACATCATCTTGTTGTTTTGGTGTATCCCATGAAAGGAAAGCAGTTGAAGTCAACCCAATGCTATGACACTTCTGAGCCTGCAAGGGAGGTTGTGACAGAGCTGAAACGGTAAAGATACGTAACGATGAGCAAGCATCACYGCTCAAAGAAGTGATGACAAACAGTCTGAGAAACTAAGCTTTAGAAAGAGATGTTTTCTGTGTTTTCAGCGTCATGATCGAGGTGCAGCTGCTGAGGTACCCTCCCTGATTCCTGGGGTTCCACYCTTCGTTTCTGAACACTCGTGCCATCGCAGGAACAATCAGAGGCATCTTTGTGTCAGTTTAACAGAACTGTTTTGTGAAAGGGGCTTTTGATTTTCATCAGCCACCAAAGTAAGTCCAAACCTAATCGATAAACGTTTCACCCTAAACAGCAATGGTATTCTTCCACTCTTTCTACGGCCGTTTTCTTTATCCCGGGTTTTATTTACACACAGACTCTTGCTGATGAAAAATATTGCTCTTCACGTCACTTCTAATTTTTAGATTCTAAGGTGAGCTGAAACACGCCAGCATGTACAAAACAAGCAGTACTAATTCCTCTCCATTGATAAAATATAATCTATCTCAACGTCTTTCTGTCACAAAATATGTACACTGAACACTGAAACACCAACAAGAGCCTAAAAATATATTCTAATTCTCCAACAGGACCAAGTTACTTCTACTTTAAAATGTCCTGACATGTTCCACTGAATTTTCTTCATTTATGGGTAACTGTTTTAGTTAAAGAATACAGGAGAGATGCAGAAAGTGAAAAGTTAAGTATTACTTTGATAAAAACTGTGGTAACTGCAACATATTGTTTCATCTGACCTCATAGTTGGAGAAGGAAACAAAGACACTGTGACATGTTCCAGATCTGCTCTCTTTGGTGCTTTGTTTCTGTCTAAAAGCATCCATTGTTTGTTTTTATTTATGTAAGAGCTTTTTCTCCGCTCAGAACTTGACGCATAGGAAGCCGACTGAGCCGTCACTAATTTCCACCGTCAGACTGAACACATGAAGAGGAACAAGTGCAGACGAGCCACCTAGTTCTGCTCTGCTGACAGACTTATCCATCAAAACGTCTCCTTACTGAATGAATCAGTCTTCCCTCTGTCAATCAGTCGSCGTGAATCACCCGCCTACATCAGTCTCCTTTCTATTTTAAAGGAGCCAACTCGTCACAGGAACCCTTCCAAACCCTTGTCATCAACCAAGACGAGGTGCAAGGTTTCTCTGGCAAAATGTTTAGAATCAAGAATGGTTCATTTATGGGCATAAGAATGAAAGTGTCATCGCTCTGACGAGTAACAAACAACTTTATGGTTTTCCTGCTGCAATTTCTTCTCATGATGCAAAAACGGGAAAAGTCGGGTAGAGTCACTGGAAACAAAGCGTCCAGCATCATCAGCCTCCACAGGATGGAGGAGGGAAAGAAGCAGCCAGTTTGCTGCTCTGGATCATACAGGTGTGTCTTAACACAACACCTGAGGTCAGCAATGACTTCAGAGAAGCAACTGTTGCTTCTACTCTGGCTTTGTTTGTGTTTTAATAAGGTCAGATTATTTTAATTATGTCTTCATTAAAAATTTTATATATATATATATACATATATACAAAAATATATAAATTATTTTATCAGTTGTATTTTGTGAATGCCTTGTGTGTGAAATAAACATTTCCAACCTCGTCCATCATTCAGGGTTTGTCTCCTGTGTGAACCAGCACCACCTGCTGGTCAACTATGTTCATGACGTGAAGGACATCCTGCAGGTCTACGAGCTGTCCAACGGTCAGCTGCTGCGAGATCTGCCTCTAGACGTGGGGACAATCAGTGGTGTGAGCTGCAAGAAGAAACACTCCGACTTCTTCTACCAGTTCACCTCCTTCACCACACCTGGTAACCTACCTGTTTACCACACCTGGTAACCTACCTGTTTACCACACCTGGTAACCTACCTGTTTAATGCACCTGGTAACCTACCTGTTTACCACACCTGGTAACCTCTTACATGTTTAATACACCTGGTAACCTACCTGTTTACCACACCTGGTAACCTCTTACATGTTTAATACACCTGGTAACCTACCTGTTTACTACACCTGGTAACCTGTTTACCACACCTGTTAACCTCTTACCTGTTTACCACACCTGGTAACCTCTTACATGTTTACCACACCTGGTAACTTACCTGTTTACCACACCTGGTAACCTACCTGTTTAATACACCTGGTAACCTACCTGTTTAATACACCTGGTAACCTACCTGTTTACCACACCTGTTAACCTCTTACCTGTTTACCACATCTGGTAACCTACCTGTTTAATACACCTGGTAACCTACCCGTTTACCACACCTGTTAACCTCTTACCTGTTTACCACATCTGGTAACCTACCTGTTTACCACACCTGGTAACCTACCTGTTTAATGCACCTGGTAACCTACCTGTTTACCACACCTGTTAACCTACCTGTTTAATACACCTGGTAACCTACATGTTTAATACACCTGGTAACCTCCTACCTGTTTACCACACCTGGTAACCTACCTGTTTAATACACCTGGTAACCTACCTGTTTAATGCACCTGGTAACCTCCTACCTGTTTACCACACCTGGTAACCTACCTGTTTAATACACATGGTAACCTACCTGTTTAATGCACCTGGTAACCTACCTGTTTACCACACCTGGTAACCTACCTGTTTAATGCACCTGGTAACCTACCTGTTTACCACACCTGGTAACCTACCTGTTTAATGCACCTGGTAACCTACCTGTTTACCACACCTGGTAACCTACCTGTTTAATGCACCTG